GTGCGGTTCACCCAGTTGATCTCGGGGTTGAATCTTTTCAGGAAGTCTCGCCCGAAGATCAAGTCAAGCCCTTTGATGTTGGTGATGGGGAGTGCAGGTCTCCAGCGCAGTGGTCCAATTTGTAGGTGTAGCACTGCTTCGCCATGTACTGGTAACTTGCTGCCGTCCACCATCGTTGCAGAGAATCCTGAAGGCTTGTACTCTTCCCGAAGTCGGTCGATCACTGCCTTGTCGCAGACGGTGTGTGACGCTCCGCTGTCCACGAGTGCTTGGAGGCGTCGTCCTTTGCAGATGACCTCGAGCACGAGGGGCAGTCGTTGCTCGGAGTACCCAAAGATAGTTTCATTGATTGGGTCATAGGGTACATCCCAATACTCCGTACACACCTTTGTGTTGCTGTCTACTCCTGAGCTGGCAGCTGGCCGAGGCTGCTTGGAGAACGGCTCTTCTCCAGGGCCCGGAGTTTCCTTGACGACTGTGCGCGTCACTGATGCCGAAGAACTGGATGCATCCGTAGGAGGAGTTCGGGGTTTGTGCAGCTTCTTGTAGACCCCCAGCTTCCTCTTGAGCTGCTTCAGCTCCACCGACGTCTTCCCTGGGGAGCGGGTAGTCGTTGTGGGCTGGTGTCGGGAGAGGACGTTGACTCCGTGGAAAGGTCGGCTTCTTTCCACACTCCTTAATTTGGTCCCCAGGTTGTCCGGTACCGGTATAGTCTCCACAGCTGTCTGCTTCTTTTGGAGTCCCTCCCGAAATTTCTCCAAGGCTCTAGCCCCTCGAACATCATAAGTTTTCATTAAAGCATCTTTATAAGATAACTTTAACGAATTCTTATAATTTCTTGGGTCTTCAAGGAGTTTCCCTGTCTCGGCAGAGTCTTTTTTCGCGGAGTCGTATTTTTCCTCGGCGATTTTCCCTGGCGAAGACTGGTCGTGGGGTGGAGATTTTCCCCCATCATTTCCTCCTTCTCGCGTCGAATCAGCTTCGTCGAAGTTGATTTTCCCGGAATCCCGCGGCCGCTTTCGGATCTTTTTATTTTCGCCAGCTAGATCCGCGATCACTGGCGACTCCCGTTTTCTGTCTTCTGATTGGCAGAAGGAATTCCGCCACTGTTGCGTGCCCGATACTCAGCGCGTGCGGCTTTCATTTTGTTGCAGTCGAAGATTCGGTGGCCCGGCACCCCGCAAAAATCACACGTGTAGTTGGTGTTTTTCGGACGTGGCCGCCCCTCGAATCTGTCGACTTCCATCGGGTCGGCGAACGTGGGGTGAGCCGAGCGGTCGCCCTGTCGCGTACTGCCGACGTGCGTCCGCCGTGTTCCGGCGTTGACCATGTCGAAGCGCTCCGCTGCCGAAACGACGTCACTGTAGCTCGCGTAGTTTGACGCTGCGACTTGTCGTTTGACTTCGGTCTTCAGCCCGGCGAGGTACGATTGTACTTTTTCCCCTTCGGTCAGGTCGGGAATGCGGTTATAAAATTCCTCCATGTGCTGCGTGTACTGCGCTACACTCCCGAACTGCCGGTGTCGATGAATTTTTTCCCGGGCAAGGAAACTCGAATTTATCGGTTCGAAGCGTTTCAGCAGGTCGGCGCGGAACTGCTGCCACGTGGCTTCACCGTGGATGAAAGTACTGTTGCCGCCAATCCACTCGAGTGCCGGCCCTCGCATCAGTGTCGCCGCGAGTCGTACACGTTGACCGTCCCAGACTGGCGAGCTCCATCCGACGGCTGCAAAGTAGATCTCCACCCCGGCGATCCATCTGCGGGCGTCGGAGTTTCGATCGCTCGGATCGAACGGCTCAGGTGGGCGCGGTTTCGGAGCCTCGAGAAACTGCTGCGACTGCTGCGTCGTCGCCGTTGTCGTCTCGTGCTGCGCTCCGGCGAGTCGAGTTACTCGCTCGAACTGGTTTCGCCACGCTTCGCGATCCGCTCGCATTTCCTCCTGAAGGGTTGCGATGCGCGCGAAGAGCTGCTGGGTAACCTCGGCGTTGTCGAAGGTTGCCATCCTGTTCAAAACACGCACGGAGGGGGTAATTCGAAAATCGCGGAGCTGGTGCTTACCAGAATCGGCATCGAATTGGTCGCCCCCGGCGGTTTTTCGAGGCAGGATCCCCGCTGCTGCTGCTTAGCTGAGCGCGGTCGAGTGAGAAAAGCTCTGATACCAAGTGTCACAGGATCGAATGTGTCGAGGAAAGGTTGCACTATCGATCAGTACAAGGCGCTTTTATACTTCCAGAGTACATCAGGTAACCAGGTTTATCTTATCCTAAGGGAATAGACCCTTCTAGAAGATAGAATCACCCTGCGTATAGCCACGCGAGGCTATTGGCTTTAAGGGATTACGGCAGGATTACGCTAGATATAGCGCACCAGTACGTCCCAAGCCTGGTCAGTGATATAATTATAATAGCAGGATAAACCAAAGGTTAATGGAAGAAGAAGAATAGGAAACCAAATGAGATGAGATAAGAAGAGAAATGAAAAGGGAAGGAAATAAGAAAAGGCCAAGTGGTGTAACGGGGTCGTACTCTCACACCAGGCACGTATCGTCACCTTATTCGCCCTCCTCAAACCCTTGGAACTTGGGCAGAGTATGATTAAATCCCTGATGGGGAAAACACTCTCCTATCAAGAAGCTACCATGGATCTCCACCGCCCGAACCTCACAATCCTCTCCCATTATCACCAACTCCTGTCGGACCCAATGCTGAAGCTGATCTCCAAGAGACCGAAACCACTGAAAGTCCACCACCGCTCCAAGAGACCGAAACCACTGAAAGTCCACCACCGCTCCAAGAGACCAAAATGATTGAAGCTCCACCATCGCCTTGCCTTTCTCGCCCGAGAACAGATCCTGAAGAACTAGACGAGAGCGGAGCTGGACCAAACGGCTCTCCTCGAGATCGAGGGGTCACAACGGACGTCATAAACCGTGAGTTTCTCGCTCTCACCATCACAGCTCCTGCGTTCGCTGACATACGTCCAGCACCTCCCCCCGATGATTCCCGCCAGCGATATCAGCGCACTCGAGGACATCGCACCTCCAGAGACATCTAGCACCAGCAGCTTGGCCACCCCTCCATAATCACTCTAAACAACTCGCCCAGGGCCAATGTCTTCGCCCCTAGAGCACTCCTAGACTCTGACGGACATGAGCTTCATGAAAGCCAAGCCACGCGCACCTGCACAGTTTGCCCCGAAGCTGCTCTCACACACAGCCCATTCAAAGATCTCCCTCGCTATCCCAACTGCTATACACCACTGGACAAATTCTATAGGAACTATCTTATCCTTACACAAGTGGGACTCCATGGGGAGCAGTACACAATGACATTCATCGACGCTGCCACGCGCTACGTCTGGGCAGCCAACGTCCATAAGAGAGGGGGAGCACTCAACATCTTCCGACCTTGGCTCGCTCTTGCTGAGCGCCAGTCTGGAAAGAAATTAAAATACTAGCAGACGAATGGAGCTCAGGAATCCCGGAGTGAGGAGCTACAGATTCATCTCCAAGAACTCAGGATCGAGCACATGCTCTCCCTTCCCTACGGACACCCGCAGCAAGGCGTCACTGAACGGACCAACCGAACTCTACAGACCAAAGTACGGGCCATGATGCTCCAGTCCGGACTGCCCACAGAATACTGGCCCTACGCAATGCACCACACAGTCCGACTGCACAACCTATTGTCCACCATCACCAACGACGACAATCTCTCCCCCTATATGGCTTGGACAGGAAAAGCAATTGACACCACCATGTTGCGTGATTGGGGCTGCATGGTACAATACCGCCCTCATCAGGCCACCACCGGCAAGCTCGCTCGTGGATGCATCTCGGCATCTCTCACAAGTACCGGGCATGGACAATCTTGGACCTGGAGAACTCCACCATTGTGCCCTCCAGGGACGTCCTCTTCTACAAAGGACTCACCCTAAACCAGTTCCATGACGATCGCCACGCCAATCGTCTAGCAGCCTACGTACAAGGAGAGCACAACTTTGCCTTTCTAGAAGACGAAATCGCCGCTGCACGCCTGGATCTGGACCCACATGACGAACACCCAGGAGAGAACCCTCGCTTCGACGAGTACGACGACGCGTACGATGCCCCAATCGACCCCTCACGCGACACTCTGCGTAGCGACGGTACCATTGACACTCTTACGGACAACAACGCTGCCGACTCGGATGACGACGTGCAAGAGGTCACTGACGATGGGCACCGCAACCTCCGGTTCTCTGGCCTCCACATTCTCGGCCTTCATGGAGCAGTCCACAAGAGCCCCTTCGTGATCGAGCCCAAGACACCATAACAGGCTCTCATCGGACCTCATCGCGCCGAATGGCGCAAGACCATGTTGAGTGACCCGCTGGGGTTGCCCTTGAGATCCTCGGGGAAGGGCCACAGGTGCAGAGCCAAGGGGGCTGTGGGCGCACTTACCCGCTATTCAACAAGCCCTTTTAACCCAGTGGTTAGTGGCTGGGTTTCTGACAGGCCATGGACGCGGAAATCACTGCACTGCGCTCTCGCGACACTCGGTGTTACAGGATCGAATGCACTATGCGTAGTGCGAAAGAGAATGTGAACTATAGAATGAATATTGCATGACAATCCCAAGGAACAACACAATTTATAGGCGAGCACTCGCGAGGTCCTCCGAGCGAGGCGCGGGTCTAGCTAAAACGTGAATGTTCTATAAAGGAACCATTTCTTTCTAAAAGCAAATGTTCTTGAAGCACTAGAGGATTCGCCGAAATACTGTGAACACTCTGTGCACGCAACAGCTAACATAGATAACACATACACTTGTGATAATCGAGAATAATGCAAATAACCACTTCGGATAAAATAATTCGAGTGATTTAAAGTAGTATTCTAGGTAATCAATAGTTTCTGAGTTCAGAGTTGCATTCTACACCACGTTTACCCTTCATTTATGCTGACCAACTTTCACGACCTCCTCCCCGACCACTACCTCGCAGTCGTCCCCATGGCTGGTTAGTCGTACCCCACGCAGCAAGGCGTATCAGTTGTCTCGGTCCAGAAGAGTGTCGTACGTCACCGCTTATCTCTAGATTTTATAGACCCGCATTTTGGGTGTCAGTTCTCTCCAAAATTTGATAAACTCCACTGTTAGGACATTTGATATTATTAGGAGCGAGGCGTATCACATTAGGTCATCTGACAGGAATTCGAGCTGTTGGGTTGGGACTTGGAGCTCAAACCTCCGCTGGTTTCCGTCATGGCTTTCTCCCCGACGCGGCCGCCGTTAGATTTGCGATCCCATCCCTAGAAATGCGCTCGACGGCGGCTCGTGCGTGGCCACAGCAGAAGCTGCCGCGTTAGTGCTTGCAGCAGCCCGAACCGCAACTGCAGCCGCAGCCCCAGCCGCAACCGCAGCCGCAATCGCAACCACCGTGGTCGAAACTGCAGCATCAGTCGCAATCAGCTTGCTTCTGTGAGAAATATAAAGTTATCTTGCAACAATGATGGACCTACAGCAGCAACAGCAGCAGCAGCAACAACAACAACAGCAGCAGCAGCAACAGCAGCAGCAGCAGCAGCTGGAGCAGCAGCAGCAGCAGCAGAAGATGATGTACGCACAGAATAACGACCATTTATACGACCCTAACCACAATGACCTAATGACAATGCTAGGGGGGGGATTCGGGCAGCCGGGGGGCGGAGCGGGCATGCGCGGGGGCCGTCCGCCATCCGAGCACATAGTGGAGGCGCTCCTGCAGCGGTTCGTTCCGCTGGCGCGCGCGCGGATAGAGGCGGCTGTGCAGGTAGGCGGGGGAAGGGTGTTAGGTGGAGAGGGGCGAGGCGGAGGCGGAAATGCATGCTAGGGTGGAGAGAAGGGAGGGGGGGGGGATGCGAGGCGCGACTTAGACAGGCCGTGATGAGAGGTAATCTGGGCTGTAATGGGGGGCGCTGGAGCAATGGCGCCTCTTATATCTTTTCCACCACTCTCACTTTGCTCCGTCTTCACACGCTTTCTTCCCAATCCTCAGCCATGGTGGAAATATTGCGCGTGGGTGGTTTTAAAGCCGGCTTACTGTTAAATAGCCCATTTGTTCTTCTCATCACTCGCCTCCTAACCCTCCCCGCCAGGACGGGCAGGGTCGGAAGCTGAGGCTGGAGGGCGGGGCGTGCGAGAAGGTGCTCCACTGGCTGTCCATGGCAGGATTGTGTTGTGCGTGCCTTATTCGTCTAACTTGGGTTTGCAACCCCTTTGTTCCTCTCACCATCAACCCTCCCCCCTCTCTCCCCTCCCCCCCCCCTCTCTTGGCAGGACGGGCAGGGTCTGAACCTGGAGGACGGCGCGTACGAGAAGGTGCTCGACTCGCTGGCCATGGTGGCAGCTCACATGCCCCGCCCGCTGCTGGACGCGCTGCTCAAGTGGCGCGAAGGGTGAGACGGGGGGGGAAGGAGAGGGGGAGTGGGGATGGTAATGAATTGAGGGAAGGGAAGGGATAGATGTAGGGAAGGTTTGGAAAAGTCGACGGGAGATGGAAGACGGGCTGCTCACACATGCCTCGGCCTACTCCTGCTGCTGGGCACACTGGGGGAGGGGCTGGTGGGGCGAGTGGGTTGAACTCTTTGTGTATGGGATTGGCGTGTCATGCGTTTCTTAGCGTCTGATGTGCTGTGCTGCGCGGTGCTGTGCTGTGCTGTGCTGTGCTGTGCTGTGCTGTGCTGTGCTGTGCTGTGCTGTGCTGCGGGGTGCTGTGTTGTGCTGTGCTGTGCTGTGCTGTGCTGTGCTGCGCGGTGCTGTGCTGTGCTCTTTCATGCAGGGAGTCACCGAAGCTGATGGATGATGCCAAGTTCGGACCAGGCCAAGGGATGCACATGCTGCAACGCAAGGTACATGCAATGCAACATGCCACACACACACACATGCTGTATTGGAAAGTAGTAGCAGGGCTCCTGTGCTGCTGCCGGCCCATCTTGAGTCAGTTCCCAAACATGCCTTACTCTCTCCTGTGCGAGCTGCCGCTGCTGCTTGACTTGCCTTGCTGGTGGTCCATGGAGCATGGCGCAGCACGCTGGAATTCAAGGAGGCGTGCAGTGTGCTCTTGCGGGGCCTATTTTTGAGGCGCCTCAAAAATAGACTTGTCACGCATGGGTTTCCTTGCTGGTGGTCCATGGAGCATGGTGTAGCATGCTGGAATCCAAGGAGGCGTGCAGTGTGCTCTTGTGGGGCCTTACCAGCACTGCTCCACCCTCACCATCTACCCCATCCTGCCTCTTGCCTGCCCCACGTGATCCCTCATCCCATCAATTTCATCCCATCCCATCCCATCCCATCCCATCCCATCCCATCCCATCCCATCCCATGGCGCCCCATCCCCCCCGTCACAGCTGTTGGTGGAGTGTGTGTTCATCTCCGCTGCTGTCCGCTTCGTTGACTGCTGCCCTGCTGACGGCCTCACAGGTCACACTCACATGCACTCCCTCTTTCATGCCACCCTGCCTGTCTATTGTCACACCCTGTCTATTGTCACACCCTGTCTAGTGTCACACCCTGTCTAGTGTTACACCCTGTCAAATGTCACACCGTCTCCCACCCTGCACCCGTTCAAATAACCAGCTGTGCGGCTGTGCCTGCCACTGCCACACTCCCTTTCCCATGCCACGCTCCCTTTCCCATGCCACACTCCCTTTCCCATGCCACGCTCCCTTTGTGCTGCTGCCATTGGTTCGGGCCCCTAGTCGACTCGTGCCTTTTCCTCACCGTCCACCAGAAGGTCTCCATATCACCCACCATCCTGCATCCCCTGCACCTCCTCCTCCCCCTCTTCCCATCCCTGGTTACTCCCCCCTTTGCAAACCCCACCACTGACTCACCCAGTTCCCATCCCTGACCTCACCCACGGTGAGGAGTCTATTTTTGAGGCGCCTCAAAAATAGACCCCTCTTCCCATCCCTGGTTACTCCCCCCTTTGCAAACCCCACCACTCACCCAGTTCCCATCCCTGACCTCACCCACGGTTCCTCCCTATTCTCCCCTTCCCAGCCCGTCTTCTCCCTGTGCACCTTTCTTCTGACTCCTGCCCTTCCCTTTATCCCGGTTTCTCTACCCCTTTTCCTCTTGCTCCTCTATCGCTTCTCCGCTCCCCGCTTTCCTCTGCGTCGCTGCCTCGCTGCCTTGCTGCCTCTGCTCTCCATTCCCCCCTTCCTCTGCTCTCCCTTTCCCCAGAGGAGCTATGGAGCGGGCTGGAGGACTTCATGTTCGACTGGTTCGTGCACGCAGAGAGGTACGGTTCGGGTACGGCCATCAATCGCCGCATGCACCCTTGCGTTTCTTTTCTTCTGCACATGCATCTGTCCTGTCCCATCCCATCCACGCATCCATCCTTCCCCTCCAAACCACCCCGTTTCAAGGCATGAATCTCTGGCTCTCCCTCATCTTATGCCGCTTGCTATGCATATGAGCTACATCTTTAATCATCTGTGGTTCTCATCCTCGCCTCCCTATCCAGCCAGGCTGCTTCCCCCACCATCTGTCTTTCGTTCACTATCCCCTCACACACATCCTGCCTGCTGTGCTTTGTCATATCTTGTTCCCCGGGTTTCCTCTCCCGTCGCCTCACTCACTCATCCTGGCACCCAGGCTCATCCCGCAGTCGGAGTTCCCCGGTCTGGTGGAGCTCCGAGGCAAGCTGCTGGACTATGTGGCGGACCTTGCTGGCGTGCTCTCAGTCAAGCGGTGCGTGCTCTCAGTCAAGCGGTGCGTGCTCTCAGTCAAGCGGTGCGTGCTCTCAGTCAAGCGGTGTGTGCTCTCAGTCAAGCGGTGCGTGCTCTCAGTCAAGCGCTGCGTGCTCTCAGTCAAGCGCTGCATGCTCTCAGTCAAGTGGTGCGTGCTCTCAGTCAAGCGGTGCGTGCTCTCAGTCAAGCGGTTCGTGCTCTCAGTCAAGCGGTGCTTGTCCCTGGGGGAAATATCAGAAAGAACCGCTGTATTCCGCTATAGTTTGGCTGGAAATCTGGCCTGGTGTGCTCCAATGCTGCTGCTGTGTGCCTTACCACGTTATGCTGGGCTTGTTGGACGCTATGATATATCCCTCTCCCCCTCTTACCTGGCCATTCCTCCCCTTTCCTCCCACCTCTTCCTCCCCCCTCCCCCACCCCCCCCACCTTCAGCTTTGACAGGATAACGGCGTGTTTCTTTGTGGAGCTGGACACGCAAGCTATGGAGGGCTACCCCCTTCCATTCCCCTTTCCCTCCTCCCCCCGCCCCCAACCGGCGTCTCGCTCTCATCCTTCCTCCTGTCCCTTCCCCCCGTTCTCCCCCTCACCACTCCTCCCCTCCCTCTGCTCCTCCCCTCTTCCTCTTGTCCCCCTCTCCCCTCCCGCCCCGCAGCTTTGACAGCATAACCGCTCGTTTCTTTGTGGAGCTGGACACGCGCGCCATGGAGCAGCCCATGCGCCTGGAGGGCCTGTCAGCCACAGGCAGCCTGCGCCTGGTGCCGGTGGTGGACCTCTTTGCTCGCGGCAGCGAGCGCTCGCTGGCCATGGAGTTCAGCGTGCGGCGCTATGATGCCACATCCAACAGGAACGAGCTGCTCAGCGTCGTGCACGGCATGCGCTTTATCCGCCTCGATGTGAGTCTGAGGGGAGGAGGGAGGGAGGGAGGGAGGGAGGGAGGGAGGGGGGAGGCATGCGATTTGACAAGGCCGGGCCAGTCAAGGGAGGAGGGGTTGAGGGACATGTCTGGAGAGCTGCCCACTGTCGTGCACGTGCACGGCATGCACATTTGTGTGAGTCTGTCTTAGTGGGCTGATTGGGGGGCCTTTGGACGAGGAGGGCAAGAGGAGGATTCATGCTCTTGTAGGTAGGTTGCCTGGCTGTCGGAAGGAGAGGAGGTTGCGTGCGAGGCTTGAGGGGTGTTGCGGGAGTTTTTGAGAAGGTTGAGGGGAGCACCTTTCCTGCGCCTGGGGCCCGCTTCCCCCTCCCAACCGGATGTCCACTCTAGCATCAGTCAAGACGCCCGCCAATCTCCTGCTCATTGCAAACCCTCTCAGGGGCCAACCCTCTCAGGCGCTGGTTCTTTCATGCACAAGCCCCCGATCTCTCTCCCCACCCAGGTGTCCACCCCGGCATCGGTCACAACGTCGCGCAACGCAACCTCCTGCTCAAGGCCAGCCAGCCCTCAGAGGTCCAACTGTCAATCAGTCCTTTGTATTAGGTAGATGCAGGGTACATGGATAGCATGCGGGCACGCATAGAGGTGAGTCCTAACAGCCCAACCGTCTGTGCTCCACGCTTTTATATGCCCCCACCCCCGCTTCCCCTTCCCCACCAGATGTCCACCCCAGCATCGGTCATGGCGTCGCGCAACTTCCTGCTCAAAGCCAACCCTCTGAGCCGAGCGCCCTCCAAGAAGAAAACCGAGCTGCAGCACGCACTCTGCGCCATGCTCACGTCGATCCTGGCCCCGCTCACCGAAAACCCCCGTGCCCGCTGGCCCCCTCTCAAACACTTCGCCGCCGGGGCCATGGGTGGGGGGCCCGGGGGGGCGGGCGGAGTGGGGGGAGGGGGGAATGCTGCGGCTGCGGCTGCGGCTGCAGCGGCGGCTGATGCACTGACGGCGTGGAATTCGGCGGTGCTGTATCTGAGGGGGCAGCTGTCGGGGTGGGTGGCGCCACAGTCGACACTGTCGCTGCAGATGGACAAACAATCGAGGCACATCCAGGTGGGGGGAGAGGGGTGGTGGGGAAGGGAATAGAGCCATGGGGTATTGTTAGTTGTGAGACACATCTGATCTAGCTTCCTGTGTGGGTGGTTGGCGCCGCAGTCGGCTCTGTCCCTGCAGATGGACAAGCAGTCGAGGCACATCCAGGTGGGCAGATGGGAATTATGTCATGGGACATTAGTTTCGAGGCTCCTCTGAGGGGGCAGCTGTCGGGGTGGGTGGCGCCGCAGTCGACTCTGTTGCTATGGATGGACAAACAGTCGAGGCACATCCAGGTGGGGAGAGGCGGGTGGGCGGGGGGGAGGGTTTAGAGCGAGGGTTATTAGCTATTTGAGACACCAGTCAGATAAAGCTGTGGTGGGTGGCGCCGCAGTCGACGCTGTCCCTGTGGTATGGTGTGAGACGTGGTGTGAGGCGTGGTGTGAGGCGTGACCTGTGAGAAGTCTTGGCATGAGCTACTAGCGCCACTTTGTTGTTCCTTAGTCACCCTCCTCCTTGTGCTCTTTCTGCTTTACCTCGTGCTCCTGCCACTTCCCTATTTCATCGGTGCGTGCGTGCGTGTGTGGGTTTGTGTTTGTTTCCTCAGGTGGCGTATCCCCTGAACACGCTGCTGCTGTGTCTGGGGGACCAGCACTCGTTCGACTCTCTCTTCAACAGCTTCGTTGAAATGCTCTACAAACACCTCAGGGTAACCTCCGACAAACACGCTCATGCTCTTCTTCCCCTGGCCGAATTCAGAACTGGCCGAACTGGCCGCACGTTTTTCTTGCTTTTTTTTTCTCCATTGTTCCGCCTTTTTTGTCCATGCCGTTTTCACCTCCTCACTGCCTCCCTACGCATTCCCCTTCCCCTTTCTACCTCCTCCATCCCTGTGAATCCCCTCCCTCAGCCTGCACCTCCCGTCGTTCCGTCTCCCCCTCCACTTTGCCCAACCCCCTCTGTCCAACCCCCTCTGCCCAACCCCCGCTGCCCAATCCCCTGCGTCCCCTCCCCTGTGTGCCTGGTCCCAGGAGAAGAGCTACCGGGCAGTGGCGCTGGACTGCCTGCACCGCCTCGTGCACTTCTACCTCAGTGTGTACGCTGATGGCCAACCCAAGAGCCGCGTCTGGGAGAAGCTCGAGGTAACGCATGCTCACATGCTCACACGCTCGCCCACATGCGATCCGTCCTCTCCTCCTCGCGGCTCTCCTCCTGTTTTTTCTGCTGAAGGCATTCATTTCACCCATTGCCACCCCCCCTTCCCCTTCCTTCTCAGGGCATAACGAAGCAGCTGATGACGTCTCTGAAGAAGGGCGTGCTGTCGCAGGACATGCAGCACGACCGGCTCGTGGACCTGTGCGTCACCGTCGCCGCCACCGACCTTGAGTTCGCCATGAACCACATGGTCATCGAGCTGCTTAAAACGGAGGGGCTGGGCGAGGCCAAGGTGGGAAAGAATGGGCCGAGGTATGTGTTGCGTTCAGGTGCAGGGGATGGGGGGCCTGTTGGTAGGTATTGACCTGGAGTTCGCCATGAACTACCACATGGTCATCGAGCTGCTTTAAACGGAGGGGCTGGGCGAGGCCAAGGTATGCAGGCAGGGGTGAGTTAAGGGGGGGGAAGAGAGGGGGCCAGAGGGATAGCTCGCTGATGGACTTGCTCCCCGCATGCTGGCAGCAAACATATGAGGTTTTTTTAATTAAACTACCGTCGCTTGCCCTTTCCCTCTCCTCCCTTCTCGCTTGCTCCCCCCCCCTCCCCCACACCCCCCCCCTGCCCCAGGTGGTGGGCCTGCGGGCGCTGCTAGCAGTGGTGGAGAACGCCCTGCACCAGTCCAGCGCGGCCTCGCTCATGGCTCCCGACCGCAAGTCCTCTGCGCTCGCTGGCTCCGCCAAACCCCTGGGAACCACCCGCCAGGCGCCCCACGTGCCATTCTTTGGGGCAGGTGGAGGGGGAGGGGGAGGGGGGGGCCTCCCCCCTGGGCTGCCTGCTCCCCCGATGTCGCAGCAGCAGCAGATGCTCATGCAGCAGCAGCAGAAGCAGCAGCAGCTGCAGCAGCAGCAGAGGCAGCAGGGGGTGGGCTCGGGGCATGCAGCGCACCTGAGTGCGCGGTTTGGGTCGGTGGACTATGGGAGGCTGGGCGTGGGGCCTGCAGAGACGGCGGTGATGGCCCCACACATGCCTCGTGTGCGCGCTGCGCTGGGGGCCATCATCAAGCAGTGCCACGCGGCGTTTGGGTCGCTGCTGCTCATCACGCCCAAGACCACCATCGGTACATGCGCCGCGCGCACACCACCGCACACCCATGGGACGGGACGAATCTGGTTGAATAAGCCTCGGTGTCGGCATGCGTTTCAGCCTCTTGGCAATAAATAGCGCCTGTTTCCTTGCTTCTTCCCCCACGCTGCACACCTTCCTCTCCCCCGTGTCTATCTCGCTCCCCCCCCTCTCTCTCTCCCTCCCAGATACAATGTTAAGGACAAGGTGCAGAGCTGAAAGGTGTTCAAGTGGGCGCTCCGCTGCCTTCCCTCCTTCCCACTTCCCTGGCCCTCCCTTTCTCAATATACCCCCCTCTCCCCATGTCAATCCGTCCGTCCGTCCGTCTGTCCGTTCGTCCTCCTCCCCCTCCCCACCAGACATGATGTCCAAGGACAAGGTGCAGAGCTGGCAGGTGTTCAAGTGGGCCCTCCGCTGCATGCCGCACCTCATCCCGGAGCAGTGGCGCAACGATAAGATGACCGAGATCATCCCCGTGTACGCCATCTCCATCGACCCGCACGTGCGCGACGAGGCTGTGCAAGTGCTCTTCCGCACTGTGCGCGACCTTCCGCAGTGCCGCTTCCCCATTCTCCGCGGCATGGCAAACTTCATCCTCAAGATCCCGGACGAGTACCCGCACCTCATCCACTCGTCCCTCGTCTGCCTTGTTCAGCTGCTCAACGCCTGGCGTATTTGCCTCGCGTACGAAGCTTCTTCTTCCGCTGCTGCGTCCGGGCATGGGGGGAGCGCCGGCCCGCTTGCTGGGGGGGGCGCAGGGGGAGCAGGGGGGCCGGGGGGAGGCGGAGGGGCGGATTTGCTGGCGCGGACCCGGCAGGTGCTGGCGGCACACGGGGGGGATGATGGGCTCAGGTTCGACCCGTCGGGTATGGACGCTGTGGGGCTGATTTTCCTGTGCTCTGCGGATAATAAGATCCGGCGGACGGCGCTGGAGCTGCTGAGGAATGTGCGGGCGCTGCAGAGGGACCTGGCGCGGCTGTTTGCTGCGGGGGGCGAGCAGCAGATGGAGGAGGACCCGCCCACCACGTACATTATCGACATCATGGAGGAGACTGGGGTGAGTTTGAGGCGCTTCAAGAAGGGAGAGGGGTAGAGGAGACTAGGGAGATGTTTGATGTGTGCAGACAAAATGGTGAGAAAGATAGAGAGGAGACTGGGGGGAGTGAACAGGTGGGGTGTTTAGTTTTGAGGTGCCTTGGTTGGAACTAGACTGGGCGGGGGGCGAGCAGCAGATGGAGGAGGACCCGCCCACCACGTACATGAACGACATCATGGAGGAGACTGGGGTGAGTGGGTGAGCAGGGGGGGGTTGTCATCACGCTAACGATACAGGCCTGTATGTTGCAGATTTTTGTTTAAGATCTGGGATGTGCTCTCTACAAACAAAACACTTGAGACTCGTTCTGTAGGCTGTATGCAAAACCTCTGCCTCCCCTTCCTCCCAACTCTTCCCTCTCCTCCCCTCCACGCAACCCTGCCTCCCCTCTTCTCCTTCTCTCCGCTCAACCCCTTCCCTCCCTTCCCCCCCTTCCCCCCCCTGGGAGGAGGTGGTGGGCAAGTGCTACTGGGACAATGGCAAATGGCACGAGCTGGTTTGAGGTGCCTCAAATATTGACACGTATGCTCATCTCCTCCCCACCCCCTTCCCAGGAGGAGGTGGTGGGCAAGTGCTACTGGGACAACGGCAAGTGGCACGAGCTACAGCCGGAGAGCGATGCAGACGCGCTGCAGGACGTGTCGCTGCAGCACATCCTGGAGGGCGCCGACCAGGCGCGCTGGGGGCGCTGCCTCAGCGAGCTCGTCAAGTACTGCGCCGAGCTCTGCCCCTCCTCCGTGCAGGGCGCCAGGTGGGTGGGACTGGGGGTAGAGGGTTCAAGGTCGGGGGCTGGAATGGGGGGTTGGGAGCTGTAGGTGTGTGTGGTCCGTGCTGCCTGAGCGAGCTTGTCAAGTACTGCGCCGAGCTCTGCCCCTCCTCCGTGCAGGGCGCCAGGTGAATGGGTGGGATCTGGGGGTTAAGGTTTGAAAGGGGTAGGGTTTAGGGCTCCATTGGGGGGCTGGGAGGTGTAGTCTGTTGATGTTTGTGGTTCAAGGCGTTAGGTTTGTGTGACTGGTGTGAGGGAGAGTGGAGAGAAGAGATGGAAGGTGAGTGAGAGGGGAAGGGAGTAATATAGGAGGGAAGGGACGGGGGGAATGTGGTTGTCTTCTCAGTGCTGGGGGCGCTGCCTGAGCGAGCTCGTCAAGTACTGCGCTGAGCTCTGCCCCTCCTCCATGCAGGGAGCCAGGTGAATGGGTGGGATCTGGGGTGAGTGAGAGAGTGAGTGTGTGCGATTGGAGCCTGGAGATGACTCCATGTGTGTGTGCTTGGGGATGAGGGAGTGAGGAGAGGCGAGGGGGGTTGGTAGGGTAGGAATCTAACTGCTTTATCAGCATGGGTGACCCCGTTATGGCGCAGAACTCTCAATACCCATCCCCGGGCCTGGCCCCCTTCTCCCCTTCACACCCAGGTTGGAAGTGATAACTCGAATGACCCCGCTATCCCGAGCTGGCTCGGCGCCAGGCAGGGAGGAGATGGCTGGGTGCAGGCAGGTTAGATTCTCACTCCACTTCCCCCTCTTCCTTCTGTCCTCAATCCCTCTCATCCTCCTCACCCCCCCCAGGTTGGAAGTGGTGGCTCGAATGACCCCGCTATCCCCAGCAGACACGTCCGGGAGGCAAGATAAGGCCGGGTCAGGGGGGGACGGCGACACGAAGCTGGAGCAGTGGCAGCTGTACGCCATGTTTGCGTGCGCGTGCCCACCGGAGGATGCGCCTGACGGCGGCGAGCAGAGCATCAAGGAGCTCGTGCGCCTCGTGCTGCCCATGGCGCGATCGGGGGCAGAGTCTGCTGTGGTGAGTGGAGTGGGTGGGTCTGCTGTGGTGAGTGGAGTGGGTGGGTCTGCTGTGGTGAGTGGGGGGTGCATGAAGGGTCTTGCACTTTGAATAGTCAAACACGTTACCAAAGATCTGATTAATACGGTAAAGGCAGATTCACACTTTTCGTCTAGCACCATGGAGAGCTGAGCTTGTGGTTGCTTGCTGGTTCGCCTACCTTGCTTCCCGTTCTTCAGCTCCCTTTCCTCTCTCCGCTCTGTTCAACCTTTCCCCCCTTGCCCCCCCTTTGCCCCCCCCTTGCCCCTCCCTTTCCCCCTCCCTCCTTCCCCCCCATTATCCCATCTCCTGCATCCCTTAGTATGCGGCGACAGTGGCGCTGGGCCATGCGCATGCGGGCATCTGTGAGGCGATGCTGACAGAGCTCATGATGTGGGTTGAGGAGCTGCTGGCGGAGATAGAGCAGCGCAAGTGGAAGGTGAGTGAGCCAGCGCTTGGCCATTGGCAGGGTGACTGTCTCTGGACAGCTCTCAGGGACTTCTAACTAGGGGAGCTCATGACGTGGGTGGAGGAGCTGCTGGCGGAGATCGAGCAGCACAAGTGGAAGGTGAGTGAGTGAGCTGTTTGCCATTGGAAGGGAGACTATCTCTGGACAGCGCTCAGGGGCTTCTAACTAGGGGAGCTTATGACGTGGGTGGGTGGAGAAGCTGCTGGCAGAGATAGAGCAGCGCAAGTGGAAGGTGAGTCCTCTTCCCATCAGGATCATTCACACCTATTCTCCATGTCATCATAACTTGAGCGTGCACCTTTCTTCTCAGCTATTCCATGACCACATCTGCCATCTCTCCTCCCTCCTCCCCTTCTCCCTCTCCCCTCTCTCTCCCCCCCTCCTGTGTGCAGAACCAGAAGGTGCACAATTAGGATACGTGCGTGTTCACAGTGCAGGTCTACCACCTCGAGGCCGAGAGCATGTGAACCCTTCCTGTGTATCCCAACTGCCCCTCCGACCCCCTCTCCCCTCCCTTAACCCTGCAGAACCAGAAGGTGTGCAAGGAGGACATGCGTGGGGTGGGTTCATGGTGCAGGTGTACCGCCTCGAGGCCGAAGAACCTATGAAACCCTTTCCGTCCATCGCAACTGCCCCTCCTCCCCTCCTCCCCCCCCGCTCTCTCTCTCTCTCTATTTCTTTCTGTGTGCAGAACCAAAAGGTCCGCAAGGAGGACATGCGTGTGTTCATGGCTCAGGTGTACCGCCTGGTGGCGGAGAACCTGTGGCCGGGCGTGCTGCCGCAGCGGCCGTGGCTGCGGCAGCTGTTCCTCAAGTTCATGGACAGCACCTCGCAGCACGTCTCCAAGGAGACCGGCGACGCCTTCCTCGACGCGCAGCCGCTGCGCTTTGCGCTCTGCTCCGTCGTCCGCTGCCTGTCGATCGAGCTCAACGGGTGCGCGTCGAAGAGGTTTGACGTGAAGTTGCGGCGGCAGCTGTTTGACCTGATGGCGTCGTGGTGCGATGAGGCCGGGGGGTTGGAGAGTATGACGAGTGAGTACCGAAGGGAGGTGGAACGGACCAAGGCGGTGGCCATGGCACGGACCAAGGATGCGGCGGAGAGAGCCGCTGTGGAGAAGGAGCTTAATGAGCAGGCGGACGCCATCCATGTGAGTGGGATGTGGTGGGATGTGACGGGATGTGATGTGATGTGATGTGATGGGAGATGAGTTGATTGAGGCATTCTTTCTTAGCAGCCTGGGGTTGGGCTGTATGGCCATACGTGCCCTGGAATCGCTTCTCAATTCCCTGCATCTCCCCCGCTGATTCCTGAAAGGACACGGCCATGCAGGCCCTGATAGCTCTTCTCACTCCACCAATTCTTCCCCCCCCCCCCCCCCCCCCCCCCTCCCTCCCCTCCTTGATCCCTCACAGGGTACGGCCATGCAGGCGCTGGCAGCGCTGCTGCACAGGCCGTGCTTCGACGAGGGGTTGAGAAAGATGTCCGGCCAGCCCGTGACATGGATCCATCATCTATCTCTTCCCCCCCTTTCCGCTACCCTACTCTACCAGGGCATGGCCATGCAGGCGCTGGCAGCGCTGCTCCACGGGCCGTGCTTTGACGAGGGCCTGAGAAAGATGTCCGGCAAGGCCGTCACGTGGATCCGATCACTCATGGAGTCTGCTGCCAGCACCGGACAGGCAGCAGCCGGCATGGGCGGCATGGGCATGGGCATGGGCATGGGGATGGGGATGGGTATGGGCATGGGCATGGGGATGGGGATGATGGGCATGGGCATGGGCATGGGTGGGTCGCCTCGGGATGTGTTTAACAGGAGGAAAGGGGGGGAGGGGGGGCATGGGAAGGGCGTGGGCAGCAGGGAGTGGCGGAGCTTGTTTGGGTCGCCGTCGTGGCGGTCCATGCTGGGGAGGGAGGCGCTGCTGAACCTGCTCAAGACCAACCCCGATATTGTGCCCGCTATCATCGATCAGGTGCTGCTGCTCATCACGCTTTCTCAACCAGTCATTTCTGTTGGGCCTGGACCTGCTGCTGACCAGTACTCTTGCTGCGATATGCCCAGCATGCGTGCCCAGCATGCGTGCCCACCATGCACTCCTTGCCACCATGCGCGCCCTCCTTGCGCGCCTTGCCACCATGCGTGCCCTCTGCCCTCTAACCCCCCCCCCCCCCCTCCTTGCAGTGCTACAACTCGGATTCGGAGCTGGCCAACGGGTACTTCACGGTGCTGGCAGAGGTGTACATGAGGGAGGAGTGTCCGCAGTGCGAGCTGCACCGCCTGCTCTCGCTCATCCTCTACAAGGTGCCGTATAATTATCATAAACCCTTCATAATAATGTAACAATAGGCATACGTTTTTCTTCTAGTTGAGGTGAGGCCTGGCTTACATTTCTTTCGCACACACCCCTCCTCGTCCTCCTCAACTCCCGTTTCCCCTACTGGGTCGCTCTTGTTCTCCCTGGGTCGCTCTTGTTTTCCGCTTGCTACCAGGTGGTGGACCCGTGCCGTGTCGTAGCATCCGAGACGACGCCCTGCAGATGCAGGAGACCATGTCCATGCGCAACTGGGCTGACTACACATCCTCCTACTCCTCCTACTCTTCCTACTCCTCCTCCTACTCCTCGTCCACATTGGCTGGCATCACTCTTGATGCGGCTCATGCGTCACTCAGCACTCAATTCACAATGCGCCCCAGAAGTTGCCTCGACCTGTCTCGTCTTGTCCGTCCGTACTTCCTGCTCCCCTCTGCACCACCACTCCCATCCCCCTTGCACCACCACTCCCTCAGGTTGTGGACCCCTGTCGCAGCATCCGAGACGACGCCCTGCAGATGCTGGAGACCATGTCCATGCGCGACTGGGCCGACTACACGTCCTCGTACTCGTCCTCCGCAGGGCGGTACCGCGCGGCCGTGGTGGGGTCGCTGCCCGACAGCTACCAGCAGTTCCAGTTCCAGCTGTCGGCCAAGCTGGCGCACGAGCACCCTGAGATGAGCGAGCTGCTGTGCGAGGAGATCATGCAGCGCCAGCTGGACGCGGTTAACATCATCGCTCAGCATCAGGTGCGTGCGTGCGTGAGGTTGGGTTTGGGGTTGCTACTGCCCTTTTGCACAACACTGGGTGCGTGGTTTTGAGACTCCTCGAGGAAACCATACAGCGCCAGCTGGACGCGGTTAACATCATCGTTCAGCACCAGGTGCGACCAGGTGGTTCCCATACATGCCTCACACCAGGTGCGTGGCCTTTTCTTTTCAACGTGCCTCAGAACGAGCTGCTGTGCGAGGAGATCGTGCAGCGCCGTTAGGGCGTGTAGCCTACGGTTTGGGAACTGAGTTCAGTCCGTGGGAAAAAAAGTTCCAATTTTCGGCATTACTCGCATGCGTCTTCACCAACAATCTCGCGAAGGATTCACGAGTTTTGGAACTCGAGGTTCTACAGCTGTCCGGACGCTGGTCTCGAACGGAGCTCTGGATGTCCGTTCGACATTCTCCCTCCAGTTCCGAGCGAAAAGTATATGCAACTCCCGCGAGAAAAGCGAAACATGTGAAGTTGGGAACGTGGTCATTTCGCATGGGGGGTTTTCGCATGTCGTTGAAACGTTTGAACGTTGGAACTTTGAGTTTTGGAACTCGAAGTTCCGTCGGCGGACAGATTGCCTATCCAAGTTTCGAAACTCGGGGTTCCATGCACAAACGGAACTGGCGTATAATGGTGATGGAACCCAGTTTCGGAACTCGGTGTTCCTTAGGCTACATGTGCTTAACTTCATCGCGCAGCACCAGGTGCATGCCTGCGGTTTGAGTGGTATTTGCCCCCTTGTGCTTCGCACAGCACCAGGCGTGCGTGCGTGCGGTTTCGAGACGCTTCGGAATGAGCTGCTGTGCGAGAGGGGATCGTTCGTGCTGCTGCTGCTGACATGCATGGCTCGATGGATAGAGAACTCCGTGAGGCGACGCCAATTCTCCTTCCTTTCTCTCCCCTTCACGTTGAACCCCCCACAGGTGGTGCTGACGTGCATGGTGCCGTGGATCGAGAGCCTCAGCTCCTTTGTCGCCTCAAGTGGCCCCTCCAATGACAATGTTGCCTTCATCACCGTGTGTGGCCCGTCCATCCCCTTTCTCCCAGGTGCTGACGTGCATGGTGCTATGGATCGAGAACTTTTGAGGGGCCTCATCCCTCGATTTCCATCCTTTCCTTCTCTCCTCGTCACCTCAACCCCCCAGGTGCTGACGTGCATGGCGCCGTGGATCGAGAACCTCAACTTTGCGGCGCTGTGGGACAGCGGGTGGAGCGAGCGCCTGCTCAAGTCGCTGTACTATGTGACGTGGCGCCACGGCGACCAGTTCCCCGACGAGATTGAAAAGCTCTGGTCCACCGTTGCTGCAAAGAGGAGAAACATCATCCCCGTTATCAACTTCCTCATCTCCAAGGTGCGCGCAAGGGGGGTGGGCAGGGAGGCGAGTGTGGGCTTAAGGGGAGGTGTGTGTGGGGGGGAAGAAGGGAGGAATGAGAGAAACGCGAGGAAAACTTGGTAGGGATGAAGGGGGATGGAACGGAGTGAGGGAGGAGGGGGGAGTACTGGGGAAGGGAAAGTGGGAGAGAGAGGGTAGGCACGGCGACCAGTTCCTTGACGAGATCGAAAAGCTCTGATCCACCGTGGCTGCCAAGAGGAGAGACATAATCCCCGTTATCAACTTCCTCATCTCCAAGGTGCATGAGGGAGAGGGGAGGGGTGTGTGGGGGGGGTAAGAGGTTGTGAAAGGGACAATGGGAGTAAGAGAGATAGGAGGGGAGGGGATGGAGGGTGGAGAAAAAGGGAGGAGTCGAGTAGCCATGCAATTTTTTCCGCCTTGCGTGCATTATGCATGCATGCAGCGTTGTACCACCCCTCAGTTCTGCCTGGGTTGCTGTACGTTCCCTCCCTCTCTCCCTCTTTCCTTTCCTCCATCCGCTCACATGGTGTGTGTGCTGTGCTCTGCTCTTCTCTCACGTTGGTCTCTCTGCTGTATCTTGTGTTCTTCGCTATGCCTGGCACTGTTGCATGCCTGCATCTTGTACCGTGCCGGCATGTTTTTGTGGGCCATGGGTGCGTGCGTGCATCCATGGAGAGCAGGGGTTGGAGGACTGTGACAGTGCTGGCGGCGAAATCACGGGCGCGCTGGAGACGTACTTCAGTGTGGCCAAGCGCATCAGCCTCTACCTCGCTCGCATCTCCCCCCAGCAGACCATCGACCACCTGGTGAGACCACCGACCACCTGGTGTGTTGGTGCTACCGTCTTGCCATCATTGCACCTAAAGGCCTCCGATTCTCTCAGCTCATTCCGACCGTCCGCCCGTCCGCTCGTCCGACCGTCCACCCGTCCGCCTGTCCGCCCGTCCTCTTGTCCGCCCGTCCGCCTCTCCGCTAGACATGGGCATGAGCCGAGCCTGGCTCGGCTCGGCTCGTTTGGGGTCGAGCCGAGCCGGCTCGCCGGTCGAGCCGGCTCGGCTCGCCTCGAGCCGGGTCCTCAGGATCCCTGGCTCGGCTCGTGAAAATGGGGTCGAGCCGGGGCCGGCTCGCCGGCGAGCCGGCTCGGCTCGGCTCGTCAGAGGGGCTTGTGCGGGCTCTCAATTGGGGCCACGGGGTTTGGAGTCTCTAGTATAGGGGATAATCCATATTATTTAGCTGATCGTCTGCTCCTACATCTTACAAAACTATCAGGAGGAGCTGCCGGTTTAAATATGGCTGGCTGAGGTCGATAGACTAGCGCGACAGGGTGAGGTTAGGGTTGGCAGACAATATTGGCAGGGGGGGGGTTGTCGATCTAAAATTTGACAGTCGCGAAACCCCCCTTTCCCTAGCCGCGAGCCGGCTGGCTCGAAATCGAGCCAGCTCGAGCCGGCTCGACTCCGGCTCGCCTGATTTCACGTTCGCGAGCCGAGCCGAGCCGCCGGCTCGAGTCGAGCCGAGCCGGCTCGGCTCGAGTCGAGCCGGGTACCAAAAAAGAAGGCTCGGCTCGCCCTAAAGGCGAGCCGAGCCGAGCCGAGCCAGGTGTGGCTCGGCTTGTGCCCATGTCTACCTCTCCGCCCGTCCTCCCGTCCGCCCGTCCGACCATCCTTCTGTCCGCCCGTCCGCCTGTCCGCCTGTCCGCCCGTCCGCTCGTCCTCTTGTCCACCCGTCCGCTCGTCGGACCATCCGCCCGTTCGCTCGTCCGACCGTCTGCCCGTCCGCCTGTCCGACCGTCCTCCCGTCAGCCCGTCCGCCCGTCCGCCCATCTCCCGTCCACCCGTCCGCCCATCCGCCCGTCCGACCGTCCGCCCATCTGACCGTCCGCCCGCGTCCGCCCGTCCGCCCGTCCGCCCGTCCGCCCGTTCACCCATCCGACCGTCCGCCCGTCCGCTTGTCCCCCCGTCCGCCCGTCCGACCGTCCGCCCGTCCGCCCATCCGCCCGTCCGACCGTCCGCCCATCCGCCCGTCCGCCCATCCGCCCGTCCGCCCGTCCGCCCATCCGCCCGTCCGCCCATCCGCCCGTCCGACCGTCCGCCCATCCGACCGTCTGCCCACGTCCGCCTATCCGCCCGTCCGCCCATCTGCTTGTCCCCCCGTCCGCCCGTCCGACCGTCTGCCCGTCCGACTGTCCTCCCGTCCACACGTCCCCCCTTCCGCCCATCCGCCTGTTCCCCCGTCCGCTCGTCCGACCGTCCGCCCGTTCGCCCGTCCCCCCGTCCGCCCATCCGCCCGTCCGCCCGTCCGCCCGTCCTCCCGTCCGCCCGTCCTCCAGTCCGCCCGTCCGCCCATCCACCCGTCCGACCGTCTGCCCGTTCGCCCATCCGCCCGTCCTCCAGTCCGCCTGTCCGCCCGTCCGCCCGTCCGACCATCCGCTGGTCGCCCGTCCGCCCGTCCGCTCGTCCGACCGTCCGCCGATCCGCCGTCCGCCCGTCCGCCCGTCCGCTCGTCCGCCCGTCCACCCGTCCGACCGTCAGCCCGTCCGACCGTCTCCCCATCCGCCCGTCCTCTTGTCCGCCAGTCCGCCCGTCCGCCCATCCGCCCGTCCGCCGGTCCGCCCGTCCACCTGTCCGACCGTCAGCCCGTCCGACCGTCTGCCCGTCCGCCCGTCCTCTTGTCCGCCCGTCTCACGTCCTCCCATCCGCCCGTCCGCCCATCCGCCCGTCCGACCGTCCGCCCATCTGATTGTCTGCCTGCGTCCGCCTATCCGCCCGTCCGCCCATCCGCTTGTCCCCCCTTCCGCCCGTCCGACCGTCCGCCCGTCCGACTGTCCTCCCGTCCACACGTCCGCACGTCCGCCCGTCCGCCCATCCGCCCGTTCCCCCGTCCGCTCGTCTGACCGTCCGCCCGTCCGCCCGTCCGACCGTCCGCCCGTCCGACCGTCCCCCCGTCCGCCCATCCGCCCGTCCGCCCGTTCGCCCGTCCTCCCGTCCCCCCGTCCTCAAGTCCGCCCGTCCGCCCGTCCCCCCATCCGCCCATCCGCCCGTCCGCCCGTCCGCCCGTCCTCCCGTCCGCCCGTCCTCCCATCCGCCCGTCCTCAAGTCCGCCCGTCCGCCCATCCGCCCGTCCGACCGTCCGCCCGTTCGCCCGTCCGCCCGTCCGCCCGTCCTCCCGTCCGCCCGTCCTTCCGTCCGCCCGTCCTTCCGTCCGCCCGTCCTCCTGTCCGCCCGTCCTCCCGTCCGCCCGTCCGCGCATCCGCCCGTCCGACCGTCCTCCCGTTCGCCCGTCCGCCCGTCCTCCAGTCCGCCCGTCCGTCCGTCCGCCCGTCCAACCATCCGCTGGTCGCCCGTCTGCCCGTCCGCTCGTCCGACCGTCCGCCCGTCCGCCCGTCCGCCCGTCCGCCCGTCCGCCCGTCCGCCGTCCGCCCGTCCGCTCGTCCGCCCGTCCGCCCGTCCACCCGTCCGACCGTCAGCCCGTCCGACCGTCCGCCCGTCCGCCCGTCCTCTTGTCCGCCCGTCCGCCCGTCCTCCCATCCGCCCGTCCGCCCATCCGCCCGTCCGCCCGTCCGACCATCTGCCCATCCGACCGTCCGCCCGCGTCTGCACGTCCGCCCATCCGCTTGTCCCCCCGTCCGCCCGTCGGACCGTCCGCCCGTCCGACTGTCCTCCCGTCCACACGTCCCCCCGTCCGCCATCCGCCCGTCTGCCGGTCCGCCCATCCTCCCGTCCTCCCATCCGCCCATCCGACCGTCCGCCCGTCCGCCCGTCCTCCCGTCCGCCCGTCCGCCCGTCTGCCCGTCCGCCCGTCCTCCCGTCCGCCCGTCCGACCGTCCGCCCGTCCGACCGTCCGCCCGTCGGCCCGTCGGCCCGTCCGCCCGCCGGCCCGTCCTCCCGCGCCCGTCCGCCCGTCCTCCCGTCCTCCCGTCCGCCCGTCCGCCCATCCGCCCGTTCCCCCGTCCGCTCGTCTGACCGTCCGCCCGTCCGCCCGTCCGACCGTCCGCCCGTCCGACCGTCCCCCCGTCCGCCCATCCGCCCGTCCGCCCGTTCGCCCGTCCTCCCTTCCCCCCATCCTCAAGTCCGCCCGTCCGCCCGTCCCCCCATCCGGCCATCCGCCCGTCCGCCCGTCCGCCCGTCCGCCCGTCCTCCCGTCCGCCCGTCCTCAAGTCCGCCCGTCCGCCAATCCGCCCGTCCGACCGTCCGCCCGTTCGCCCGTCCGCCCGTCCGCCCGTCCTCCCGTCCGCCCGTCCTTCCGTCCGCCCGTCCTTCCGTCCGCCCGTCCTCCTGTCCGCCCGTCCTCCCGTCCGCCCGTCCGCCCATCCGACCGTCCGACCGTCCTCCCGTTCGCCCGTCCGCCCGTCCTCCAGTCCGCCCGTCCGTCCGTCCGCCCGTCCAACCATCCGCTGGTCGCCCGTCTGCCCGTCCGCTCGTCCGACCGTCCGCCCGTCCGCCCGTCCGCCCGTCCGCCCGTCCGCCGTCCGCCCGTCCGCTCATCCGCCTGTCCGCCCGTCCACCCGTCCGACCGTCAGCCCGTCCGACCGTCCGCCCGTCCGCCCGTCCTCTTGTCCGCCCGTCCGCCCGTCCTCCCATCCGCCCGTCCGCCCATCCGCCCGTCCGCCCGTCCGACCATCTGCCCATCCGACCGTCCGCCCGCGTCTGCACGTCCGCCCATCCGCTTGTCCCCCCGTCCGCCCGTCGGACCGTCCGCCCGTCCGACTGTCCTCCCGTCCACACGTCCCCCCGTCCGCCATCCGCCCGTCTGCCGGTCCGCCCATCCTCCCGTCCTCCCATCCGCCCATCCGACCGTCCGCCCGTCCGCCCGTCCGCCCGTCCGCCCGTCCTCCCGTCCGCCCGTCCGCCCGTCCGCCCGTCTGCCCGTCCGCCCGTCCTCCCGTCCGCCCGTCCGACCGTCCGCCCGTCCAACCGTCCGCCCGTCGGCCCGTCGGCCCGTCCGCCCGTCGGCCCGTCCTCCCGCGCCCGTCCGCCCGTCATCCCGTCCTCCCGTCCGCCCGTCCGCCCATCCGTCCGTCCGCCCATCCGACCATCCGCCCATCCGCCCGTCCGCCTGTCCGCCCGTCCGACCGTCAGCCCGTCCGACCATCTGCCCATCCGCCCGTCCTCTTGTCCGCCCATCCTCCCATCCGCCCGTCCGCCCATCCGCCCGTCCGACCGTCCGCCCATATGACCGTCTGCCTGTGTCCGCCTATCCGCCCGTCCGCCCATCCGCTTGTTCCCCCGTCCGCCCGTCCGACCGTCCGCCCGTCCGACTGTCCTCCCGTCCACACGTCCCCCCGTCCGCCCATCCGCCCGTTCCCCCGTCCGCTCGACCGACCGTCCACCCGTCCACCCGTCCCCCCGTCCGCCCATCCGCCCGTCCGCCCGTCCGCCCGTCCTCCCGTCCGCCCGTCCGCCCATCCGCCCGTCTGACCGTCCGCCCGTTCGCCCGTCCGCCCGTCCTCCAGTCCGCCCGTCCGCCCGTCTGACCATCCGCTGGTCGCCCATCCGCTCGTCCGACCGTCCGCCCGTGCACCCGTCCGCCCGTCCGCCGTCCGCCCGTCCGCCGTCCGCCCATCCGCCCGTCCGCCCGTCCACCCGTCCGACCGTCAGCCCGTCCGACCGTCCGCCCGTCCTCTTGTCCACCCGTCCGCCCGTCCTCCCATCCGCCCGTCCGCCCATCCGCCCGTCCGCCCGTCCGACCATCCGCCCATCCGACCGTCCGCTCGCGTCTGCACGTCCGCCCATCCGCTTGTCCCCCCGTCCGCCCGTCGGGCCGTCCGCCCGTCCGACTGTCCTCCCGTCCACACGTCCCCCCATCCGCCCATCCGCCCGTCTGCCGGTCCGCCCGTCCTCCCGTCCGCCCATCCGACCGTCCGACCGTCCGCCCGTCCGCCCGTCCGCCCGTCCGCCCATCCGACTGTCCGCCAGTCCAACCGTCCGCCCGTCCGCCCGTCCGCCCGTCCGCCCGTCCGCCCGTCCGCCCGTCCGCCCGTCCTCCCGCGCCCGTCCGCCCATCCGCCCGTCCGCCCATCCGTCCATCCGCCCGGTCCGCCCGTGCTCCCGTCCGCCCGTCCTCCCGTCCGACCGTCCGCCCGTCCGACCGTCCGCCCGTCCGCCCGTCCGCCCGTCGGCCCGTCCTCCCTCGCCCGTCCGCCCGTCCTCCCGTCCGCCCGTCCTCCCATCCGCCCGTCCGCCCATCCGCCCATCCGCCCGTCCGCCCATCCGCCCGTCCTCCCGTCCGACTGTCCGCCCGTCCTCCCGTCCGCCCGTCCGACCGTCCGCCCGTCCGCCCGTCCGACCGTCCGCCCGTCTGCCCGTCCTCCCATCCGACCGTCTGCCCATCCGCCCGTCCGCCTGTCAGCCCGTCCCCCCGTCCTCTTGTCTGCCCGTCCGCCCGTCCTCTTGTCCGCCCGTCCGCCCGTCATCTTGTCCGCCTGTCCGCCCGTCCGCCCATCCGCCCGTCCGCCTGTCCGACCGTCCGACCGTCCGCCCGTCCGCCCATGCGCCCGTCTGCCCCTCCGACCGTCCGCCCGCGTCCGCCCGTCCGCCTGTCCGCCCGTCAGCCCATCCGCTTGTCTCCCCGTGTGCCCGTCCGACCGTCTGCCCGTCCGACTGTCCTCCCGTCCACAAGTCCCCCCGCCCGTCCATCCGCCCGTCCGCTGGTCCGCCCGTCCGCCCGTCCTCCCGTCCGCCCGTCCGACCGTCCGACCGTCCGCCCGTCCGCCCGTCCTCCCACCCGCCCATCCGCCCATCCGCCCGTCCGACCGTCCGACCGTCCGCCCGTCCGCCCATCCGCCCGTCCGCCCGTGCGCCCGCCGCCCGTGCGCCCGTCCTCCCGTCCGCCCGTTCTCCCGTCCGCCCGTCCGCCCGTCCTTTCGTCCGCCCGTTCGCCCGTCAGCCCGTCCGCCAGTCCTCCTGTCCGCCTGTCCGACCGTCCGCCCGTCCGCCCTTCCTTCGCCCGTCCTCCTGTCCGCCCGTCCTCCCGTCCGCCCGTCCTCCCGTCCGCCCGTCCTCCCATCCGCCCGTGCGCCCGTCCTCCCGTCCACCCGTCCGCAAGTCCTCCCAACCGCCTGTTCTCACATTCTCCCCTCCGTGTGCACGCGTAGATGGTCAGGTGTACGATCTGTCTCAGCCTGGTGACTTTTGAGTCGACTAAAAAATTATCCCCTCTGTGTGCACTCTCCCCTCTGCCCTTCTTTTATGGTCAGGTGTACGAGCTGTCTCAGCGCATGTCTGAGGAAGATGCTGTGGACGTTTCCTCCTCGGCTAACCAATGGCAGGAAGACATGTCAGAGATCCTCAGATTTTCCCATGGGTGCAAGCTGGTGCGCCCTCTGTGCTGCTCTATCCTGTCCTCATCTTCACACTTCCCTCTCTTCCTTGTTCTCTCATGCGCACATGCACACCCTCATGCACACACCCTCATGCACACACCCTCATGCACACACGCACATGCACCCACCCACATGCACCCACCCACATGCACACACCCACATGCACCCACCCACATGCACGCACCCACATGCACACAGCCACATGCACACGCCCACATGCGCACACCCACATGTGCACACCCACATGCGCACACCCACATACACGATTGCATGCGAGTGTACACGTGGGTGCACACATGCAAATACGCAGCCCCCTGTGCACACACGCACATGGCCATACCTCCCACTCTCACAATCATCCTTTCCCACCTAATACCCCCCTCACTTCCTACCCACTCTCCCTCCCTCCCTCCCTCCCCCTCCAGACGGACTCGTCAGCAGCAGCGCTGGCAGCAGGCGCCTCTCCCCTCCCTCCGCTTCCAGGGCAGCCCCCCTCGTCGCACTCGCACCACCACCACCGCGCCACCACCACCACGGCGTTTGGCACCGTGCGCTCGCCCTTCGCCTCCTCCTCCGCTGCCACCGCCATGTCTCCTGCCTCCTCTGACTTCCTCCGCTCCTCCCTCTCATCTGCTTCCTCCTCCGCTGCCTCCACCCTGCGCTCCAACAGCATGCGCGTGAGTGGGCAACGGCCAGGGGTTGTAGGGGGCGGTGGGGGGTGGTGGGTTGTTGGGTGGTGGGAGGTTGTGGATGGCTTGAGAGTTGTTGAATTGTGGGATGGCACAATTTACCACTTTTAGCTGCTCTCCTCACCTGCAGCACAACCCCCGATTTTACCATTCTGTCCTCCCATCGCCCTCTCCCCCCACCCTTTCCACACGCAGACAAACATTCTCCACCTGTCCCCCTTCGACACGCTAGGCACGTTTACCATGGACTTCCCCATCGCGTCTCTCCTCATATCACCATCCTCCACTTCTCCCCTCTCCCCCTCTCCGCTTCTCCTCTCCCCCCCTAACGTCCCACTTAGATGAACCGCTCGACCTTCGACACCCTCGGCACGTTCACCATGGACTTTCCCATCACGCCGCTCCTCGAAACCACCCCAGCGGCACCCCCCGCAGCCCCGACCTCCGCCTCTAAACCCTCCAACCCGGTGCCCAACGCCATGCTCATGCTCCCGCACGTGTGGCTCACGCGAGCGGACTTCGCCCTCATCCTCCTCGCCGAGATCGCATATGAAAACGACGAGGACTTTCGCGGGCACCTGCCGCTGCTGTTCCACGTGACATTTGTGCTGATGGACTCCAGCGAGGTGGTGGTGCTGGAGCACGCGCAGCAGCTGCTGGTGAATCTGCTTTACACGCTCGCTGGCCGGCACCTGGAGCTGTATGACGCGCGGGACCAGAGCGAGGGCGAGTACAAGCAACAGGTCAGTTTCTAATGCGTGTGAAGAACAAAGCGAGGGCGATTACGCACAGCAGGTCAGTTCTTGAGGCTTCGTGAAAACAGCGTGAGAGGGTGAGTAGGTTAGAAGCAGCAGGTCAGACTGCTGTTCCACGAGGCGTTTGTGCTGATGGACTCCAGCAAGGTGGTGGTGCTGGAGCACGCGCAGCAACTGCTTGTCAACCTGCTGTTTACCCTGGCAGGGCGGCACGTGACGTGGAGCTGTATGACGCACGGGACCAGAGCGAGGGTGAATACAAGCAGCAGGTCGTGCTGTCTGTCTCTCTGTCTCCACCCGATTGTTTTCCAGTCTCCAGTTTAGTTCGTTTGTTCCTTGTATTTCTTACTGCCCTTTGAATTCTCTGTGTCTTTATCATGTTCCCCCTCGTTTCCGCTGCTCTCCCATCTTCTCCTTTTCACTCACGACCAACCCAATCTCCTGAACCGTGCACCTGCCGGATCGCTTCGCCCCTGACCCACCCAGTGGCTCGAATGCCCTGCCCTCTCCCTCCCTCCCCCCCCCTCCCCCCACCTCCCCTCTCCTCCCCCTTTTATTTCCCCATCCCCCCCGTCGCAGGTGGTGAGTCTGATCAAGTACGTTCAGTCGAAGAAAGGTAGCCTCTTGTGGCCCAGCGAGGAAAGTTGGTTTTTGAGAGTTCTCAAACCAACTTACCCTTCCTTCCCCCTCCCCCCGTTGCAGGTGGTGAGTCTGATCAAGTACGTGCAGTCGAAGAAGGGCAGTCTCATGTGGCCCAGCGAGGACATCTCCCTCACGCACACGTCCATCCCCTCCGCCACTCTCCTCACATCCCTCGTGCACTCCGTGGTCGACGCCATCTTCTTCCAGAGCGATCTGCGCACGCGCTGGGGCGAAGAGGCCCTCAAGTGGCTCCTCGACAGCGCGTCCCGCCACGCAGCGGCCCGCTCGCACCAGATGTTCCGCGCGCTCCGCCCGCACGTCACCTCCGACACTTGCCTCCTCCTGCTGCGCTCCCTGCAGCGCTGCTTCTCCAACCCTTCCCCTCCGATTCTCGGGTTCGTCATGGAAATTCTTCTCACCTTACAGGTGGCCGTCAACTCCATGGAGCCGGAGAAGATGATTCTCTACCCGCATGTCTTCTGGGGGTGCATTGCGTTGCTGCACACGGACTATGTGCACGTGTACACCCATGCACTAGAGCTCTTTGGCAGTGTCATCGACCGGCTCTCCCTGCACGATCAGACCACGGAAAATATCCTCCTCTCTGCCATGCCACTCCTGCAGGCCCATTCGGGGCGGGGGGGGAGGGGAGGAGCAGGTAGCGGGAAGGACGAGGACGGTGGAGGGGGGGGGAGTGGGTCGGCGCAGCAGGGAGGGCAGGGGCAAGTGCTGTCACAGCAGCAGCAGGAGGTCGTATCAGGTCTTCAATTCCAGAAAGTCCAGCGGCTCGTGCTGAAGGGACTCCTCTCGGGAGTATCCCACGGGGTGGCTATCGACGTCCTCTCCAAGATCACCATGCGTTCGTGCGACCGGATCTTTGGCGATGGGAACACGCGGCTGCTGGTGCACGTGGTGGGGCTGCTGCCGTGGCTGTGCGTGCAGCTGCAGTACGGTGCAGACGCAGCCATGGGGCTGCTGGTGCTGTCGTCGCTGCTGCAGCAGCGCCTGGATAAGGCGCGTGCCGTGGCAATGAAGATCGCCAAGTGGTGTGTGCAGTGCGACCTGCAGGTCAGTGCTGCCGCCCGCCCGCCCGCTGCCTCTTTGCATCCTCTCGCCATCCTCTTCCCATCCTCTTTGCATCCTGTTTATGATTCCCAGTAAGTTGGGTTGAACCTTGAGTGAGTTGGAAACAACCTGCACGAGCCGCTCGTCAGTAGTGGCAAAAGTGCCACCAGATAACACACCCTCACTCGTCCCTCCGTTTGCTTGCCCTCATTCCCCAACTTCTTGCAGTCGCTAATCTTTCGACTCTTAATTCCCTTTCGGCTCTCATTCGTCTCTCATCCTCTGTTTCCTTCTGCCCTCTCCAATACCCTCCTGCTTCCCCCTCCACCTCGCCCTGGCCGTTGTGTTCTTCTCACAGGCCAACACTGTCACCCTCACAGTGGTCGAGCTGCTGGAGAGCTTTCAGCCATCTTACAACTTCTCTTCTCTCTTCCCCTCCTCTCTCCCCCCCCTCTCCCCAACTCTCCACCAGGCCCTGGCCGATGTGTTCTTCTCATACGCCAACGCCGTCACCCTCACAGTGGACGAGCTGCTAGAGAGCGTGGCGCCGCCCATCTGCGCGCAGTGGTTCCCAGACCACACTCTCCTGGCCCTGGGCCACCTGCTGGCCATGCTGGAGAAGGGCCCCATGGAGTACCACCAGATGGTGCTACTCATCCTGCAGGCTCTCCTGCGCCGCACGTCCCTAGACGCCACTCAGAGCCCCCTGCTCTATGCGTCCGTCTCGCGCTTGCTCGACAGCGGGCACTGCCGGGAGGAGGCGTTAGGTGTCCTGGAGGCGATTTTGGACAGCTGTGCTGCCACAATTCACAGGCCTGCTGGTTCTGCTTCTGCTGCTGCTGCGGCGGCAGCAGCTGCAGCTGCAGCAGCGGCTGCGGCGGCGGATTATTCCCCTGGGTTTTCGGCCGAGTTGCTGCCATCGCCGGACTTGGCGCTGATGCTGACGCAAGAGGCACTGGCCCGGGTGTTGGACTCGTATGGGGGTGGGAGGCGCAATGCCAAGGAGTTGAAGCGGCTTGTGCCGTTTGTTGATGCGGGAGCAGGGGCAGGAGGGTCGACTGGGGGTGGGGGAGGGGGGAGTGGTATGCATGGTGGGAGAAGGGATTAGTGGAAAAGTTGGAGAGGAAGTGGTGACATGACATGATGCGAGGGAATTTGAGGCCACCACTGTATGGAAGGGAGTTGATATGCGATATGTTGCACATCTTCTATGATGTGCCACTGGTGAACTGTGTTATTGAGAAAGCTTGCTACTTGAAGTGCAAATGGCATCGTTCTCATTCCACTGGCATCAAGTACAAGAGTTCCCAATATATTCATACATCAACATAAAATTTCTACACTAGGAAGGATTCTTAGAATTGAATGAATGATGGAATAGGGAGAGAGTACAAGAGAATATACGGTACCTAAGTGTTGTACTCTCTAAGAGGTGACCCGATACAATCTATGCAAACATTAGAGATACACATGTCTGAACAAGCAGCTCAGGGCGGCACTACTAGTCCAGCCACTGAGACAAGGGTCTAAAGACCAGTCAAAAGGAGTACAGACAAGGCAAGAACAAGACCAGGGTGGCACTACTAGTCCAGCCACTGGGAGAGGACACAAGTCTAGTCTGAGTACGTATAGATATATAGGACATTACAAAGTCAAGGCCCTAGCAAGTGAGAGGCTACAGGAACTAGACAGAGCTGTACACAGTGCCGCTGATGATCTTTAGGCGCAAGCGCCTTCGTAAAGATATCAGCTGTGTTGGCACCGGAGGCCAAGTGTACTACGCGAGCCTGGCGGCGAAGCTGTAGCTCGCGCAGGAGGAAGTACCGCAGCTGGATATGCTTCGCTCTGCCCTCGAGTCGAGGCTCCTGACACAGGAGTATCATGGCCCTGTTGTCAGCGTACATGACCGGGGCAGAGCTAGGCCGCTCACCTAAGTCAGTGAGCAAGAAGGACAGCCAGCGTAGCTCCTGAGCCGCCATGGCACCGGCGTAGATCTCGGCCTCACAGCTGGACTGGGCAACAGACGAGGAGCGGGTAGCTCTCCACGAGACGGCACCTGAACCAAGGCTGAAGCAGTAGCCCTGGGAAGACCTGAGTGTCTCGGCATCGTCTGCCCAAGAAGCGTCTGTGTGTCCAGTAAGGACCACTGACCTGCATCCTCCTATCACTAACCCCATGCCCGATGTACTTGCAAGATAACACAAAACCCTCTTAGCGGCAGACCAGTGCTGAGGTCGGTGTCTGCCTGTGGCCACAAAGCGAGCCAGGATGCTGACAGGGTATGCGAGATCTGGGCGAGTGCAAGTCATCAGGTACATGAGGCACCCCACCAGCTCAGCGTAAGGACCACTGGGCTCTACTGACTCCTTACGAACTGGAGCACAGAGTCTGTGGTCTACAGGCAGAGGGGTGGGCTGTGCAGAGGAGAACTGAAGGCCGGACCTTTGAAGGGCGACGCAGGTAGACCTGCTCGTGTAGGCTGCCCTGAAGGAAGGCAGTGGAGAAGTCGAAGAAGTGAAGCTCGTAGTCACGCTGAGCTGCTAGGTGTAGCACAAACCGAAGAGTAGTCATCTTCGGGGTCGGAGCTAAGGTCTAGAAGAAGTCCACCCCCTCACGTTGACTGAAACCTCTAGCCACGTAGCGCGCCTTGAACACAGGCGGCTCTCCAGGAGGGCGCTTCACCTTGAAGAGCGAGCGGCCATCGACTACGTTCACCACAGGCGGGGGAACTGCGTCGACGAAGGTGCCGGTGGATCTCCAAGATGCCATCTCCTGCTCCATGGCAGCTATCCATTGGGAGGCCCAAGGTCCAGAGGTCGCCTCAGCGTAAGTGCGAAGGGTCGGGATGTCGAAAGCGTCTGGGTCACCTTCAGGGACTGGCAGCATGGAACAGAGATGGGGAGCAGCCTCGGACAGGAAAGCAAGCTCGTACTGGCGGTCCTCCAGGACGTCACTGCCGAGGGCAGGAGCACCCCCGACAGACGGAGGACAGGCAGGGTCAAAGACCAGAGCTGTGGCATAGTCAAGGCGGCGGGTAGAGGCGAAGTCAGCGACCGCAGCGACAAGGGCGTCAAGACTCGAAACCGGAACAAACGGGTCAGTAACGAGGGAGGCAAGGACCCGAGGAACAAGAGGACAGGCGGCATGCAGGTAGTCCGACATAGGGGGGGAGCAACGACAAGGGAGGACGGAGGGGGCAACGGGAGAAGGGGAGGACGAGACGCGTGGGAACGAAGCAACATAGGGTGAGAGCGCAAGACAGGGGAGATAGGTCGAGCACGGGAGGGACGGCGAGACCAGACGTGAGACGGAGGAGTCCGGCCAGGAGTCAGAGGAGGGGACACAAGGGGGGAGCGAGGGGGAAGACGAGCCGGGGACGATTCCGGCGGAGGGAACACAGGGCCGTAGAAAGGGAGAGGAGGAGACGGCAGGAGAGGAACAGACGCATGGTCAGGGGAGGGAAGGCCGAGCAGGCGAAGGGCTGACACCGGCGGGGACTGCTGCTGCGGCGGCACAACACCGACACCCGGACCGCAAGCTGCTCCGCGGCTACCGCCGGAACACTCCACACCTGCACCCCCAGAAGGAACACCCCCAGAGCTCGAAGCCCCTCGAGCACCGGGACCACCCCCAGGGCCATAGGGACTAGTACCCACTCCAACGCCAGCACCCCCAGACTCAACGAACGGCTGCTGCGACGGCGGCGGAGGAGACGACGGCTGCAGAGGCAGAGGCGACGGCGGCTGCAGAGGCGGCGGAAGAGGAGACACCTGGGGAGGGGCAGACGGCGAGGACTGCGCCACCGGACCACCAGAGTCAGAGGACTCCTCGACCGGGACAACCGACGGGAGAGGGGTGACGTGGGACACACCAGAGGGGGCAGGACGGGGAGGGGGAGGGGGGGGGGGCAGGGACCACCGGAGAAGGAGTGACCAGGAACAGGGGGGGAGTAACAGGGGGACCGCGGTGGGGGAAGCGACGGTAGAAGGAGACGGACTCGTCAAAGGTGACGTCTCGAGAGTGAAAGAACCGGTGAGACGGCTGGTGGTAGAAGTGCCAGTCGAACGCGTCAAGGGGGAAACCTAGGAAAACGCAAGGAAGGGTGCGGGCTGTGAGCTTGTCCGTGCCAGAGGCACGAACGTGAGCAAGGCAGCCCCAGACGTGGAACGCAGACGCGTCACCTGGAGACCTGGTCCAACGAAGGGTCGGCAAAACCTGCGGCTGCTGAGGGTGCGGCCACAGGTTAAGCTGGTGAGCAGCGTAGCGCACGGCGAACGGCCACAGAAAATGGGGTGCACCGCCATGGATCATGGAGGTGCGAGCCACCTCCATGACCAAACCGATGCGTCGCTCAGCGACCCCATTCTGCTGTGGGGAGTTCGGCAGGGTGAACGTCTGGGTGATGCCCTCCGCACGACAGAAGCGTCCAACGACACCTGAGGCAAACTCGCCACCACGGTCGGAGTGAAGACGCAAGACAGGGAGACCTCGGTGGACACGAGCTGAGACAAGCCAGGGGATGAGAGCGTCAGGCACGTCGGCCTTGCGCTCCAGGGGAAAGACTGTGGTGTAGCGAGTGAAGTCGTCGACAAGCACGAGGAAGTAGCGCTCTCGACGCGGCCCATGGACGGGGGCGGGGCCCCAGACGTCCATGTGCAGGGTCTGCAGCGGCGCGGTGGTAGGGGGAAACGAGGAGGAGTGAGGGGCATGGCAAAGCCGACCCTCGACACAAGGTGTGCAAGGTGGGGCGGGGGAGGAGGGAAAAGCGGGGAACGAACCAGGGAGACCAAGGACGAGACTGTGCTGGGACATGTGACGCAGACGCGGGAGTGCAGGGTGACCTAGGCGGTTGTGCCAAAGGAGAGTCGGGTGAGTGAGGGATCGACAGGAGCAGGCAGCAGCAACCTGGGTAGACGCACCGACCTGAAGGGGCGCGCCAGCCGGGGGGGTCACGGTGCCCAGGGTGAACAGGCCGGACACCGGGTCCCGGGGGAACGTGGACAGGGGGGCACCAGTGGCGGCCTCGGTACAGATAGCAAACCGCTCGTGACCAGGGAACGTAGTGGTGACGCCCGAAGAAACCGCCGGACAGGGAAGGGTGGTAGAACTGCAGGCGACTACTGGACCGCTGGAGGGGTCAGCAAGAGAAACTGCAGCAGGAACAGGAAGCGGCGTCAGCGTAGTGGAGTCGCGGAAGAAACACCGGAAAGCGCCAGAGTCCAAGGTGAAGGAAAGCGAAGCAGTGGCGTCTGGCAATGGGGCGACGGCGGAAGCACCAAGGCTAAACAAAGCAGGAGCTCCTACGCCTGACGCAGCAGGGGAGGCTAAGCTAGGCACACCTACACTAGGGGACAAGGAGTACTAAGAGGGGAGCACACTAGAGTCATCAGCATACATCACATGCAGGGCAGAAACAATGGCATCCATGTCCATGTCAAAAATCTGAACTCTACGACTAAGCAAACTGTGCCAGTCCGGGAGGTCGGGCGACGGGCCGAAGCGCTGACGAAACAGGTCGTCCAGGCGACAAAAACAGCGGGCAGTGGCGTGACCGATCTTACCGCTAAGGAAGCCGCGGCGAGGACCGGTCTGGATCTGGTACTGACAGCGCACGCCTCCCGAACCGCCACCCGGCACACCACCACGCGCACGACCACCACCAGCGCCAGGCCACCCGGGCGGGAGGGCACTCGCCTGCCACGTCTGCGGCGGCTGCTGCGGCTGCTGGGGCGGCTGCTCAGCTGGACCTGGCAAGGTCCCCTCGTTCGCTCCACCACCAGATGACCCGACGCCACCACCACCTCCACCTGCACCCCCACCTCCTCCGCCGCGCCCAGCCTTGGGGCGGCGACCCTTCCCCGGACGGAACTGCGCTGTAGCGGCGGTCTCAGCCATAGCTGCAGAACCATCCGAGAAGATGCACTGAGCGGGGGCACAACCCTGAAAGATAGGGACCGGCACAGTACCACTCGCTTGGGTGATAGATCGGTGGCGGGTCTCAATAACAGTCAGGGTGTCTACAAAGTCTGTGAGGGTGAGGTCACCGGGATGGATGCTAAGGAAGCGGTCACGAGCAGCGGCAAGGCGGTCAGGGAGGCGGGTGGCAACCAGGTAGAGGGTAGAGGTAAGGGGCGGCTGGTGGGCTCTAAGCTGTGCGTCAGTGCAGGCAGCGCGCCAGGTCTCATCTATCGTGCGCAGGTGGGCAGCCAGGTCAGCGACAGTGGGGAAAGACGCAAGGTCAGGAAAGAGCATCGGTAGGATCAGGGGACCCACCGAGGCAGCATG